TGGCCCTATTTTCCATTATTTTTCAAAATGTGCATGCCACAAAGTACTCAAAACATAAAAGGCACTTAAAAGAAAATAATATTAGAAAAAGTTGTATATAAATGTACATACACGTATAGACGCCACTTGAAACCCCGTGCACAAACCCTTTGGGACTGTTGTCTAAGTAAAGAATTTGGTTTTTCCCTCCTAAATTGAACCTTTCTGGACATGTTTTTGCTTTCTGGTGGCTTTCAGGCCTACCGTAACTCACCGTAGGGAAGAGTTACTAACATCCATGAATGAATGTCTTCCCTAGGCCATAATTTCCTTATTCCTGAGCAAAGTGGCTTTTAGTTACAGTACATGTACATGTCCCTCTTACCCCCACATGCATACATGTACATGTGCATGTATGGAGGCTGTGAAAGACATTTGTCACCCCCACATTTCATTGTTGTATCCAGCGCAGTGTTTGTGGTTGTGACCATGGTGACCAACTGAACCCTAAAACTGGAGAAGGGGCCAGAATCTGAATTCTCTTACCCCATTGACATTTTCCCTTCATATCATCACCATGCTTTTTCACGCACTGAGCCTTCAGTCATTTTGTTCAAGTTAGCAACTTAGCCTATTTCAGTCATTTTTACACCAATGTTGTGAAAATCAAATTGACTGAACGGCTTAGCACCCATTTTTTTTCCAACTGATGTGCTCAATGCACTCACTGTACATGTACATGAGGCCTTGAGCTACAAATGGCTTTAAAAGCAAAGCCATTTGTCAGTTGAAGTTGAAATGTCGCAGTTGCACTGTTGTAAATGGCTTTTTTTTAAATTGGGCATGGGACAGCTGAGTTCAGGGGGAAGGCAGCAGAATCTCTCTCTCGCCTCCCCTCCCCTTCCCGTCTCATAGTACAAAATGACCCAGCTCTTTCAGGGTCAAATGCTTTGGCCACTGGTCAGTTGTGTTAATTGATGGGGTACAATTGATGGGGGAAGTATCTCAAGTTACTTTGCACAACCAGGATGAAATGGTTTTGTATAAGGCCAAATAAAAAAATAGTTGATAGTCGTCCCCGGCCGCCCCTGAGAAATATGACTGCCCGAAGCTTTTTTTTATTTTCTATTTTTTGACGAACACTTGAAAAAACTGCCTTTTGGACGACCCCACTTCCAAATTTTTCTGATCTTCTCCTACACACCTTCGAAACTTCCGGAAATTGCCACATGTACTCCCAAATATGTACAGGTATAAATGTACAAGCACAGATTCACCCAACTTCGGAACGATTAGACTTTGGTTTCAATGGTTCCAACTACATATTCAAGCTCTTACGGGAACCAGGCAAACCGGGGTCTAAGCCGAATCCACTTATCCAAAAAAAAAACACCTGCGGTTCTGGCTTTCACTATCGAAAGTAAAGACTCAGCCTAATCCACTCGTTTCGAAAATGTCATCGACTCCATGGCGCAGGAAGATGCAGCTAATTGGGAACGAGGTTGAGATTCACCACACCATTTGTAAGCCGCATCGGAATTGTTAGCTGTGGTTGCGGCCGCGTGCCCCTATACACGTGAACCTATGGAAATAGAACAGCTAGCGATGTGTCAGTCACAATAGTTTTATGCAGTGCGGTTACAGCCACAGCCAGAAATTCGGATACATCCTCGACCTCTCCTACATGCTGAGTCAGTACTCAAATTTTTGCAGAATTTCCATCAAAATGCCCCAAAGTTGATCACATCAATAGTCGCGGTGAGGGTTCTGCCATTGCTTTGAAGGACTGGTTTGCATGTACATGTAGTATTAATGTTGACTTGAGTGTTTCTTGAGTGTTTCCGACTTTTATGGCAAATTTTCTGACTGAAAATGCGATGGAGATCTACCAATACGTGTAGGCGTGGGACATTGTGAACATTTGCTTTGGCCCTAGTAAATTCATGCATGGTGACATGACAAAGGTATTGCCGGCTTGCAATGTAGGCCTATTCGATGTGACGAAAACTCTCGGTCCATTTGTGAAATTATTTGCAGAATTGGGTATACCCTATCATGTATGTGTACACTCTGGCATATCTGGATTTTAAGTACATGTACAGTGTATGTACCTGCATGTGCCACAAAATGATAAAGAGGTTTTTGTAGTATTTCACTCATTCCCAGATACTGAGTCCACTTCACAGCGGTACAGAACCGTGACCTCTCTGGAAAAAACCCTCCTATTATCCTGGCTCTATGTTGTTTTTCTTTTTAATGCCGCTTTCAGAAATTTGCCCCAGTTTCTACATGTACATGTATACGTTTATTCATAACCTTTATTAAACAGCATGACTTTATAGAGTTACCAAGAATGTCCAGTTTTAGAGGCAGGAGGAAAACGGAGTACCCGGTGAAAACCTGCGAGAGTTACTATGGACTGGAAACCCAATGCATGTAAAGCTTGGGCCAAGGTGGGACTCGAACCCGGACTCATTGGTGCAAAGCGAGGAAGGAAAGAACCGCTTCGACCCGCTTTATCCTGGCCGTACAACCCAAGTCTCCTTTTTTCGATGAATGACTCGCCCGTGTATAACCCTTTCATAAGGAAGATAAATAAAACTCATTTCATCGAGGAAACTACTCTTTATGTAATTTTTTTCTCATCAAGCAAAGATGTATGTTGAAAAAAAATGAGGCCTAATGCACCAGTAACTAGTACTATGAATTGCACTGTATACGTACATGTCTAATATTATATATTATATGTATTAATATTATAAGGTACCGGTACAGCGTACATGTACCATACATTTTTGCCAAGTTTCAAATAAACTAAAAATCTGTAAGAGTGCTTATCTTAAATCTTTCTTGAAATGTTGGTCACATCTTAAGCTAATAATTAAAAGAATATTCATTTTGAAATCTGTGTATTTGCAAACAAACATTAAAGGTCATATGCATATATAACTTTATATTACCGAAAATGGGTCACTTGGGAGACATTCCCACAGGAACGTGCACAAAAGTTTTCAAACTTTACCGTCCCACAATTCAATATGCCCTAATCCAAACCAAACTTTGCATGTTTTCCCTTCAGACCATAATTTATCATCTCTCAAAATGTGGACGGTAAAAATTTTCCTCCTTTTTGTAGTTGGAGCATTAGGGAGACATTGAAATGTCTCCCTAATGTTGAAAAAATTTACCACAAAATGTCTCCCAAGTGACCTACTTGGAAATATTTTGGTACCGGTACCAAGATGTTTAAATGATGTAACTTTAATTTCTGTGGGTGCGTAACTTCAGGAGATCGCTGTCCAAAAAGAAACAAAGCATGTGAACTGGCATATTTTTGCCAACGCACCCTCAGAAGATCATTAATATAATTTACTTATTTTGTCTTTCACAATTTTTTCTAGCTTGCTAACATTCTTTCTCCTCATTCTCATATATTGTCTTTAAACATCAGTTTTGTAAACTTCCTTCAGCAATATTTGTACACCCCTTGCTTGCATATTGTACAGTACGACTTATGTGGTCGTGTTTGCAAAAGAGAGATTTTCTGTAGTCGGCACATGCAGCTTGTCAGTCCGTGTTGGTAATAAGATCTCAGTGAGGGCAGGTGTATTACTCTTTCCACGATTACAGGTGGCTAAGCGTCTGCGGCATTCTAGACATCCAATGCAGCAAGAACTCGTCTTTCAATATTTTTCTGGGGTTACATTCTGACATGCGTTTTGGTTTGCGATAGTAGTTACATTTTTTTAGCTTTACATTTTTCAATCGTGTATACTGTTTGTTCGACGCGTGCAAAGCGTAAATAGAAGGAGCAAGCGACCTTGAGAAGGAAACACAGCTGCTGTGAGCTACGAAGCGTGAAGAAAAAATGCGCATAACCCTGAAGGGGAGTGCAGCTGAAGAGGGTCTGTCTCGTAACCTTTTGAGGTGAAATATAGGTGTGTTTTTTCTATTGGTTAGGTATACAGAGGTTGTGCTGGTCTTGGACCTTTGTGTTCCTACTCAATCAGTTTTATAGAAAATGTCCGGACATAACGTGGCAAAGTCTGCACAACGACACATTTCATTCCATTTTAAAATTAAGTTTATTCTTGAACAAAACTTACAGACTTATAAGCATTACCGTAACATGGGGTAACTTTGGTCAGCGGGGTAACTTTGGTCGGTAACCACTAAAGGGTTTGAAACTTGTTATTCTCCCCAGCGGATGCGGGCGTATTTAGTATCATTGTATTCAGAAATATCATAGTTATTCATTATTTAACATTTTTGCTGTTTGTGTAACCATGGTAACCATTTTTATTTTAATTTTAATGCTCCGTTTTGATGACGGCCAAAAACAAAAGGTGGCCAATGTTGCCCTAAGCCCAGGGTAACTTTGGTCACCCTTGTTTAAGCCCTAAGACACCAATAAATTTTGAAATTCCCATTTTTTCAGCATCGAAGATAAGACGAGTATCACTGTACTCTGAAAAGAAGGGAAATTGACCGATTGCACCCGCTAAGTCACGTGACCTACAGTGGGTATTAAATATCAACAAACACAGCGTCCACCCTTAGCAAAGTGTTTTATAAATATCATTCACCAAATATAAAGCCGACTGTAGGTACCGTATTCAGACTATTGATGTGCTAGGCACTATACCGTAACTTGGTTGTATTGTTTGTAAACAACAATTGCTATGGGGCTGATAACCACTATGGGTCACGTGATTTAGCGGGTGCGATCGGTCTATTGAAATTGCTTGTCTTTACCTGAGAAGAAATAATAACATACATGTAAAAAATGGCCCAAAGTTACCGCGTGTTACGGTTACGGTAATTTGTGCAGTTATAGATTTCCGCATTGTCCAAATATTTTAAATGTTTCCCCAGCGCTCAAAGTGTTGTTTTAACAAAACAAGACTTTGTTGGGTGTAACAAAGTAACAAGAAGTGTGCAAACTACGCAGTATACTCCTTCGGATATACAGTACATTTATATCAATAATAATACTCTTCCTGTTCTCTTTATATAGGTCCAGTCTTCTTTGTTTGTTGGGACATTGCTCCAATTTTTGACAACATGTCTGCTGATTTGGTTACAAACCCGGTAAAATTGTTTCTATAATGTTAAAAAATTTTAAAGGTCGAATGCAAAACGATTTGAATGTTTGTGTGACAAATTGATCGCAATTTGTTTTCGAACAAACCCGTTTGAAATAGTAATTTCATGATTTCAAAAGTCAAAGTTTTTATTTCTTTGAAACAAAGCTAAGTATACAATTGAAGACTGAAAAGGGGTATCGATATGTAAAAAAGTAAATGTATAAACTTTTATACCTGTAAAATGTAACTCGTTTCTATCTACAAATGCAACTTGTTAGGTTGTAAGGATTCATTGTGTCTATCAGATACCAAGTTAGTGACGTTTTTGTTGTTCGATAGCTGTTTGTTTAAGCGCATATTAATCTATTTTACAACCCATCCTAATTTGTAATTATTCGCAAGCTTGGGTCACTGTTATAAATGTTTTCAGCTGAACGTACCCATTTTCTCAGGTCTCGGGAGTTTTGATTGGGAGTACAGAACTATGCGACTCTGCTGCTATAGACGTAGCTTGGTCAGTGACATAATTTATATTGAAGACCCCCGTGGGTATTACAATACACAGTGCGAAGAACAATGAAAAGACATCTTATCAAAAAACTGACAACCTATTGGAAGTGTTATGAGTTTTTGGAAACAGTGTTGTAAAGTTTTACACTAGGTGATGGTTGCCTTAAATAGTTAATCCTGAAGGAAAACGATATTATGAGCCCCCAAATCATTGATGGGATTTCTCTGCGATAGAGTCCCTATGGAGTGACCCTCTCTTTTTGGATTCGATTTAGCCCCTGCCATACCTGGACACAATTCCCGGAGGCATGCGGCAAGGCAAGAACATTGTGGTTAAAGTCACCATCAAACCGAACCCAACAAGGTAGGCACCTCAGATGCTAATTGTTTGAGGAACCACCCCCTCCGAAAATATGTTTATTGGCATTTGCTTTGGTAATCATGGGCAATGACACTTAGGGAACTTATACATGGTGTCCACATAAAAACTAGGTATACAGAGATAACAAATGTCAGATGCAATGCATTGACACATTATGGAGGGCACATATTAAAGTTATGAGGTAAGTAGCGAAAATGAAGCAGATTATAAGTTGATTTGTTAGATATATATATTTCTTGTTTTCAAGAATGTGTTCTTCAAGCAAAAGCATTTGGTACTCTGCACACTTGCGCAGTTAAGCTTTGTTAATCAAATATGCAAATTTGTCACAGTGCCGATTTCAGTACCCTTGACATCGGTCTAGTTTGTTCAATCATCTGTGGCAATAACATCACAAGCTGTATACCACTGCAAAGAGGACATTTTGCCCTTTGCAGAGATACGTTTCTCTTTCCCGTACAGAAAGTACTTTTGCCATCACAGCATAAATTTTTATCTCGGTATTGTTTTATGTTGACACCTTGTTTGTCCAATGCTTTAGGGAAAGCAAGTTACCTACTTCAGCCTTTTTGGGGAATCAGTAGTGCATGGGTAAAAAATACTTGGTTTGGAGCTCAATGAAACACGAATTAATTCTTTAGTCTGAGTGTTCTTATCTAACTCTGGTGAGGGGGACGGGGCACAGTCAACTGGTTTTATGTGAGTGAGATCATTTTTCAAATGTATAATTGCATTGATGAAACATCAACTGAAAAATCATAAGTTACAACTTAGCGATATCTTGGGTATTTAGAGGAAGAAAGTGATGTGGCTTGAAATCTTGGTACCCGCAAGAAATCTAGTCTTTTCACAGGCGCAGAAACTTGCGAAGGTTGACAAAAGATTTGGATTATTTTATTCCAATTCTTGTAATGCATTTTGGGTACTCCTTTTGCTGACGTGCTTCAGAACATGAAGTAAAAGGCAATATAATCATGGTGTTTGTTATCTCATTCTATCTACTTTTTTTATTCGGAAAACGCAGTTTCCAAATAAATTTGCAGTGTGGCATGTGCAACAACCCAAGGAGTGACATTGCATTTCACTTCAATCCACGGTTCAACGAGCAGGCTATTTCCATGAACACCCTGCGCGACACCAAATGGGATGCCACTGATCAGAGACATGGCACCAACTTCCCCTTCCACCCAAATGGGGCCTACGAGGTAAACATTCAGTGCTTCCTCTTTTCTTTTTCAGAGTCCTCTACAGAACGAGCTAGTTCGGTAGACCTATTTTAATGTTAAAAAGCTATCATGTGAAGTTAGTTTGTGAACTGAAGCAGGTATGCCTGTTGGCCTCTGGCTGCGCTGGTAGGGCATATCCGGGCGCGAGTCCCGATGTCCCTGTCCCCACATGACACGCTTTCATCTTAGGAATGCACAGTTAGAATAACCAATCTGGCTCATTCTCTCCCATTGGAATCACCAGATCGTGACGTACGGCAAGTGGCCTACGTGGCTATGTAACTTGACGTACGACAAGTGGCCTTCGTGGCTATATAGCTACAACCATTAGACACGGCCTCGGAATGTAAAGGACTGCTCTTGACAGTGATCAGTGATTCGTCTCCACACTTTTTATACTGAGAAAATCTCATTTGGCCAAAAACTCCGTGTGAGGGTACCAGCTATAGAACAAAGAATGGATACTTCGAGAGAAAAAAGAACTCTACACGTGACTGCTAGACAGTGGTGTTAAATGAACACTATGTTGTGCTGATTATTCACGTTGACATGAGATATTATTGAGTCTGTATGAGCCAACTTTTATAGCAATCCTTTCTCATTCTCATCACCATTTTGTGATTTTCAGATGAGGGCGTCGCTGGGTATACTCTTGCATGAATCACCATTTCATACTTGAATATTAAACTTTGGGCGGTCTCTCGGGTCAGCGGTGATTTCATTTCATTTTTCATTGTAGATCATGTTCCAGTGCGAACAACACCAGTTTAAGGTGGCCCTGAATGGCTCTCACCTTCTGGATTTCAAACACCGTCTGCCGTTTCAGAACATCAGTGCTCTCGCTGTGGATGGTGACTGTGTGGTTACAGAGATTAACTACCAGTAAACAACGCTCTGCTCCGTTGGTTGGTGGAAGAGTGCCATCCCCACACGGATGGTGCAAGCGTACGCCTGCTTAGCTTAAAAACATTATATTTGAGTAACCTGAGAATATTTTCTTCGTATTTCACACAAAAATAGACCATGTCTGAGATTTCCACGTGTAATGCAAAAGTCTACTGATTGACTATAAACTGAAAACAACTTTTTATGAACTCTTGTTAACCTTTGATTAGATAATTATCTGTTGTTTATGCAAAGTACTGGAGTTTGATGGAAAGAGAGGTTTTACAGTGATGGGAACTTTCATGGCAGGAGTGAGACGCACGTGGTGAAGAAATCTGAAGGGGACAGATTTTGGTGCTCAGATTTAAAATTGTTGGTGGAATTTTTTTCAAAGATTTTCCTGTAAAGTCATTTATGAATTACACGTAATTGCATATATAGCTGTAAGCATTATTGATAGGAATAGTGTCTGAGAAATTTATTGCAAAATAAACAAAACTGGGAACTTCCTCCTGAAAACTAAAATTACCACCTTTTCGGCAAGTACATTTTGAAATTCTGTTATTTTGATAATGCTTGGAATTCGGAAATGCTTGAAATTGATTTAAAGCTCATACTTTCGAGTATTAAGGTCACAAGCCAGAAAGAAGCCCAAACCATAGCGCAAATTTAGGTTTACAATGCTGTTAGTTTGGCTCAGGGGATGTACAAATATTTTCGTTTTAGAGATTTGTTTATTGGTTAGTCTATCTTGTCACCGTACACTATAGATCAAATTGAATTGCATTATTTTACTTACAGTAACAACGAAATGAGAGATTCTGGGTCTATCTCCAACAGAGCATAGGGCTTTTCTGCATTTTTAAGTTTGAGAAAAAAATGCAATCGGCACACATGCATGCTTGCTAGTGAAGAGGTAAACAAAATTAAAACGATGCGATATGCTGAAAAATGTGTCTATAAAAATGCACATGATGATATCATTATGGCGTTCTTATCACTGTCTCTTATGATACATCCTAGTCTACCTACATACAAGAATTAATGGAATTGGATCTACTTTTTTATAACAACCTTAAAATATTCACCTTGAAGATGACGCTTTTAAAATGACGCCTTTAAATGACGCCATTTATACCCATAACCAAGACGTGACCTTTAATTTAAACCACCAGACCTCGTTGTTCCTACATAGGCCTATGTACCAAGTTTAGACCTTATCAGTATCAAAACTCTCTAGTTGTACGACATTTAAAAGTATATGCATTGAGATCTCCGGTGACCCTATCTTTACATTTCTTGAATT